TGGCGCCGGGAAGCAGGGAGCCCTACTGGGAGGCTGCAGACAGACAAGGGGGCTCCTTATAGATGGTGGCCTTGGAGGTAGGTGGTTCCTGGAGAGGGAGCAGTCCGAGTAAATTCATGGCAATGGGAATGCATTGGGGTATCTGGGGGACAGCAAGTGTTGTGCTGGCTGGAGCCTGGGGGTGCAGGAAGGAGAGCCACAGGAGATAAGGCCAGGAAGGGGCTGGCATAGGGCTCACGGAGGGTTCCAAGAGCCAGATGAGGAACTGGGGCTTTCCACCATAGAAAGTGGACGGGAACGGAGCTTCAGGAAGGCGAGCTGGCAGTGGGAGGAGAATGGAGGAGGGAGGCAGGCGCCCCCCAGGAGGCTGAGTGCAGAGGCAGGAGTGAAGCCCCACAGGGTAGTGGCTCTCACACTTCATCTCTCGGTGGCTGAATGCCTCCAAGCCTGAGAAACGAAAGCTGGGCTCTGCTTTGCCCACACCCTCGAGAAGCCGCCCGGGTTCTCAGATAGCAAGATAAGCAGTGCTCTGCACCACGGCTGAGAGCCACACTGATTCAGACTTCCCAATGCCTCCCTCTCCCTGGGAGGGGCTGACAGCTGATCCCTGTGTGCTTCTGCTCCCGGTCAGCCCTTCTGGCCTGAGCTGGGAATCAGCCTGGGCTCTCAGCAGAGGAGGTGTGGAGGCGGCAGAGGGGCCCAGGGTGCTCCACAGGGAGCAGACAGACTTTCTCTCCTGAGACCAGGCAGCAGGGGCCACTCCAGCGGCTCTGCAAGGCCGGCTTTGCCCCAGGCAGGGAGAGGAGGGTGCCAAGCTCATTAAGGGTCTCTATCACCCCCAGCCCTATTTTTTCTTTTGTCCACTGCTCAATTTGGCTTGAGAAGCACTAACTGCATGGCTGTCCCCCAGGTAATTCTTTTTTTTTTTTAAAGATTTATTTATTTACTTGAAAGTCAGAGTTACACAGAGAGAAGGAAAGAGAAAGAGAGAGTCTTCCATTTGCTGGTTCACTCCCCAGATGGCCAAAACGGCCGGAGCTGCACTGATCTGAGGCCAGGAGCCAGGAGCTTCTTCCGGGTCTCCCACATGGGTGCAGGGGCCCAAGGACTTGGGCCATCTTCTACTGCTTTCCCAGGCCATAGCAGAGAGCTGAATCAGAAGTAGAGCAGCCGGGACTAGAACCTGTGCCCATATGGGATGCTGGTACTGCAGGCGGCAGCTTTACCCTCTAGGCCACAGCACTCCCCCCACCCCCATTCAAAGCTACTTACTCCATCAGCTGCTGGCTCAGTTTGCCCATCCATACAATGGAAACCCTAGATGGGAAGTCCCTCTGGGTGCACTCCACACTACCCCCAAGCCCCACCTTTACCCCACCCCCAGCTCTCCACTTTTCCTTCCAAGTTGCCTTTATTGAGATGATAATGTGAGGCAGGCTTCCTTGGAGGAGCGCTAGGCTCTGGTCCAGCTTGGACACTCGGCTGTCTGGTCTTCAGCAAGTCACAAGTGCCTTCTTTGATGCTGCAGAAGCTCTGCACATACTCCTAGTATTCCCACCACTGAGCACCAGGCAAGCACCAGATGAGAGTCCTGGTGCTCCCGGTGTGTTGCAATGGGATCCTGGGAACAGCACTGCCCCAAGCTGGGCCCCCGCCAATCCTGCATGGTACATGCCCCAGTCTGAATTGCTTTACGTCAAGGATATTTTTTCCCAGCTATTTGGCATGCCAGCAGCTCACCCAGGAGTCAGCACTTCTCGGAAACAGGATGAGGATGGAAACCCAAGTCCTCCAGAAAGGCGTGTGAGCAGGAGAGCACTCCTTAGGCCCCCAGGGGCCCCGAGCTTGCTACCTGAGCATCTCCGTGAACTCTGGGGCCCCTTCCTGCTGGGCATTGGGTTGAAAAGAAAGACTTGCTTCCCTCCCAAGTCCTCAACTATCCCAGCCGAGGGGCTGATGGAGTTCAGGGGTCAGGGGTAGATTTTATCCCCTTCTTGGGCAAATGACTGGTGCTTAGGGAGGCTGCAGAGACCAGAACCCAGGGTCCCCAAAGTGTCTTGGCTGGGAGTCAGGAGTTGGCCTCCTGCCATGGCTCTGGCACCCAGCTTTCAAGATGCTGTCAGATATACGTGTGTTGAATGCCACTGTCAGTCACCAAAGGGCTGGATGCATTGCAAGGGCCAGGGCTCAGGAAGCAAACCCAAGGGAGGAGGAGCTATGCTCCAGCCCAGCGCAGCCCTGTCCCCTTGCAGCCCCGCCCCTCTCTCCTCTCTGCAGCCAGAGCCGCAAGGTTGTGCTATAGTGCAGGTTAGGGATCTTGGCCAGAAGCGGGAGGCTGCTGGAAGTTAGTCCAGGGTCTCTGCTCCCGACAATATAAATATTACACTATAATATATATAAATATGTTCTCAAGTGTCTGCCTTTTTGCATACGAATCACTCGAAGGGCTTGTGGAGGGGCAGGTTGCAACCCTGCAGATCTGCAGTGGGACCTGAGATTCTGCATTTCTAGCAAGCTCCCAGGGCACGGCCATGGAGACAGGCCTCAGGCTTCTGTGCAAAACAGCAGGAAAGGTACACACACACACACACACACACACACACACACGTACCCAGCTCTAAGCCTCTCCTGGCCCTTGCAAGAAGTGTGTGCTGCCCCGCAATGCTGGCAGTAAGAACGTGAGTGTGGAAGGGACCTGCATCTAGTTTTGGAGACGGCAAAGCTAAAGCCAAAGCCTTCCAGTGCTGGGAGGAACTTGTTCAAAGCCTCACAGCAGGGCCGGGGCTGTGGCGCAGTGGGTTAAGCTGCTGATTCTGAAGCCGGCATCCCATATCAGAGCACTAATTCACATTCCTGCTGCTCCACTTCTGATTCCGCTTTCAGCTAAAACATCTGGGAAGGCAGTGGCTGCTGGCCCAAGTGCTGGGACCCCTGGCACCCACGTGGGGGACCAGGCTGGGGTTCCTGGCTCCTGGTTTCAGCCTGGCTCAGCTCTGGCTGCTGCGGCCGTTTGCGGAGTGAACCAGTGGATGGAAGATTTTTCTCTCAAATATATGTTTTAAACAAAAACACAGCAATTCAGCAACAAAGTCGACTCAGGCCTCCTGTGCCTTGTAAAAACAAACAAAAACAAAATCCAGAAATGCTATTCACTGACTGCTGTCTGTGCTTCCTCTGAGACAGCCAGGGATTTCTCGGATTTTCGCTAATTTTTCTTCCTACCTCCTTTCTCCAGCCCCTCCCTCTTTCTTTCTCTTGCCTGTATTTAAACACACACACACGACAAAGCGAACACGAACTGATTTTTTTTTTTTAGTAAGAAAGAAATTTAATAACAGAATATTCTCAGGAAGTGCTCGGTAAAGGAGATGACGGGGGTGCGTGGGCAACCGCGCCAAGTGCAGCGGCATCGCGCCCTGGGTTCAGCTCGGGCCGTCCCGCAGTCAGCGCCCGCGCTCGCCTGGAAGCAGGGTCTGCGCGCCGCGGAGCTCGCCGCCGCCACCGCCGCCAGCACCAGCCGCGGCCGTGCGCTCCCCGCCGCAGCTCGCCCCCGAGGTCGGGACCCTCCCCCTCGAAGCGCGGGCCGTAGGAATCTTTCCCCTAACCCGAGGAGCGCGGCTGCCTTAATCCGTTTTCGTAGTAAACGACCTCGGGCCAAGTCTGCTTTTGTTGCTGGTTTCCTAAGCTTAATTGCAAAGCAAAGTTAATTTGAAAGAAAATAAATGTTAGGGCTCTGGGGCGAATTCTAACGAGCCTTGGGCAATTAGGGAAGAACGCATCTAATTACCCGTGCCCGGGGGCGCCTGCACACGACGCTGAGGGTGCAGCACCCGAGAAGGGCTGGCGATTTGTGTTCGAAACAGGAAGAAAAAAAAAAAAAGAAGAAGAAGAAGAAGAAGCTGTGAGGGCCCATGGTTCGAGGATTCCTGGAGCTGGGGCGTCCCCAGGACGCGCGGAGCCTCGCAGGCTGCACCGTCCGCCCGGCGCCCGCTGCAGTGGAAGTCCCGAGCGGTGCGCGCTGCCTCGGAGGCGCTCGCTCCCTGCGCGGCTCCCGGCCCGGCCCGGCCTGGCCTGGCCCGCGGGAGACCGAGAAGGCCATCGCTCGGTCGCCAGCGCCCCACGAGCACGGGTCCCCCCGGACCGTCGCCGTGCAGCCCCAGATCCTTCGTCGCGCGCCGCTCTCTCCGCCGACGCTGCCTTCGCCGCTGTCACAGCCTCACCTTTGGCGCGAGCCAGCCGGCAGGGTGGGGGCGAAGACGGCGGCTCTTTCCCATCCTGTCTCTCCGGGTCCCCGGGCTTCCCTGGGCGTCGCTCCAGGCCGCTTCATGACCGGGCAGTGTTTGTTTATTTTAGAGTCCCTCTGCCCTCCTGTCACTTCTCTGCTTGGACTGCAGGAGGACCCTCTGAGGCAGCAGTCACGAATTCCCTTTTCCGCGAACGAGGTTATGCGGGAAGGCACTGGTTCGGCTCGCGGGAGCTGGCAAAGCCGGGCGCTTGGCAATTCGGACACAAAGGCTCGACTTCCGCGCTATCTTAGTGGCAAACCCAGGCCTGCGCCGCGCAGCCAAAGACAGCTCTCTGGGGTGGAAAACTCCGTGTCGGGCTCTTGGGTCTCTCCACCTGCGAGGGCCACTTTTCCAGCTGCCCAGGGAGCACCCTTGAATTTCACACCTGGAAGGGACTCCAGGGGGAGGAGGGAGGCCCGACACCTCCACTTTTTCCAGGTCACAGGCTTGGCTACGGAACCTGGGCGCAGGAAGGCAACAGCAGTACTCAGGCTGCCTCCCACCTCCAAAGGGTCACCCACCACCCTCAAAGCCAGAGGACTGCGGGGGCCCAGCACTCCGGAACACACTAGCCAGCCTCTCAAGGCTGCTGCTGAGCAGGTGTGGGGCCAGTTCAAATTTAGATTGGCCGTGAGGGCAAGATACACCCCAAATCTGGAAGACTTACTATGGAAAAAAGGGTGAAACAGCTCAACCATTTTTATGTTGACTATATGTTGAAACGATAGTATTTTCGGGTATTTTGAGTTAAATATGTTATTAAAATTAACCTCATCTTTTTCTTCTTACTACCTTAACATGGATACTAGAAAATTTAAAGTCGCATATGTGGTCTGCATGGTATTTCTGTCGGACAAATCCCCGCCTGGGCTGAAGTAAGTTCGCCTGTTTTTGTGAACAGGATAGTGCAGTCCCCAAAATAGAAAACTGAAAAAGACCACTGGGTTTTACGCCATCTTCTTGTCCACAACCCCACTTGGTCTTCCCCATCTACTTAACTAGGCCAAGAGGGGCCGAGTTTCTCTGAACAGAACTCACTTGCTCACGGGTTTTGATGAAAACGGTTCAGCCGAACACTCAGGTTGACCGCAAGGCTGCACGTGGAGCCTCTGAAATACTTAAGGCTGGAAATTTCCACTCCAGAACCGAAAGTTCCAAGATTTCTCAAGAGGAAGGTGGGAGAGCTGCTCACTCTCTCTGCTTTGGGTGCGTCTGCTGCTCAGACAAGATTCAAAATGGAGTTAAAAATTCAGGTTTGTTTCTAAAGCTTCCTTCACTGCCTGCCCCAGTTAAGCTCCTCTCTCTCCCTCTCTGGCCTGGGAAGGGTGCAGAGGGTACCAGCGATGGAAGAGCCAGCCCCAACTACTAGAAACAGCACCTGCTGGCTCCCCTGAGACCTCTTGTCTTGAACTAATTTGGTATCAGTGTGGGGTTGCTTGTTGCACAGCAAACAGCGGGCAGTGGGTGCATCCACCTGCCTCCCCAGAAAGCCCAGTTTAAGACTGGGCGGCTACAGCTGTAGGATGACCAGAACATCCTACAAGACTCAATAAATTATGATATGATCACTGCCTGGAGCTAATCCTAGATTAGACCCTTGCCACCAGTGTGGTTCCAATTTCCTGGACCCGGGGTTTACGCTCTGGGTGGCCCACAAATAGGTGGGGGCGGGGGGAGCAGCCTAGATGAGGGAGCCTTAAGGAGAACGTGGGGGAGGGTGGGACCCCACAACGCGGTTGTGTGGCAGAGGGGCTGAGGGTCCCGGCCACCCGCGGAGCTGGGGCACAGTTCAGAACCAGAGCCGGGTCTGCAGGTTCTGGGAGGCAAGGAAAATGAGCCCATGTCAACCGGGCAGATTTTCTTCCATTAAAAAATGGGGGTGGGGGCTACTTTTGCACCTTTGTCCTCCTCACTTTAAGAAGAAAGGAGCGCCCTTTATTGCAGTAACCAAAGGCCCAAGTTTCGAGCAACACCGGGAAGCGGGAAGCACCAGGCGCTTCCCCTGTAATGCAAGGCCAAAGGGCGTGTCCCGTGCGGCTTCGTCCCATCGAGGGTTTCCTGGTGTCAGTCCCCACGTGGCACTCCTGCCTCTCCCCACTTCGCGGTTCACAAAGCAAACCGGACGTGGACGCGGTGCGCCCGCCACGCGCTCCCCAGTTCAGGTCCTCTCTCCATTCCCGTCCTCGGATCTCGGGGAAAGTCAGTTCGTGTGGGCTGCCGAAGTATCTGTGCGTTCTGGTCCTCACGCTCGGCTCACATCGCGGACACGAACCGATCCACCCCGCCGGGATAGGCCGCGGCATGGCGCGCATGGTAGGCGCCTCCGCCGCCCGCTCCGAGCTGCCCGCCAGGATTGTAGCAAGGCCCCAGCGCTCCGAACTGGCCAGGCGATGAGCGCCCGTAGAAGTCCACTGCGGTCTCCACGCCACCACCGCTGCCACCCGCGGGGGGCGAAGCGGGTCCTGCCAAGCGGCCGGCCGCCGCAAAGAGCGCCCCGCCCGCTCCCTGCGGGTACGCGCCGTCGGGGCCTGCGTAGGCGGCCGTATAGGCCGAGGGGTTGGCAGGCCGAGCCCCGGAGCAGCCAGCGGGCTGGTAGCCGGTGGTAGTGGAGGGGGCGCCGGCGGAGGCGAAGGCGCAGGAGCCACCCGGCCCCGATGGCGCGGGGCCCAGATCCGGGCTGAGCGGCCGCTCAGGAACCAGGCCGAACACTCGGCACGGGCCCGGCGACGCGGCGGGGTAGTAGACAGGAGGCGGCGCGGCGAGCGACGGCGGCGCGTAGCCGGCGTAGACGGCTCCCGGGTAGGGCGCGCGCGCGGCGGGCACCGCGCCCGGGAAGATCGCGGCGGCGGCTGCGGCAGCGGCAGCGGCTGCGGCGGCCGCCGCGTCGTGCATATAGGCCGGGTAGGTGGACAGGTCCGAGCGCTTGAAGCGCTTGCGGCGGCGCAGGAAGCTGCCGCTCTCGAACATGTCCTCGGCGTTGGGGTCCAGCGCCCAGTAGTTGCCCTTGCCGGGGCGGCCGGCCTCGCGCGGGATCTTGAGGAAGCAGTCGTTGAGCGTGAGGTTGTGGCGGATGCTGTTCTGCCACTTTTTGGGGTTGTCGCGGTAGAAGGGGAAGCGCTCGGTGATGAACTTGTAGATGCCGCCCAGCGTGAGGCGGCGCTCGGGCGCGTGCGCGATGGCCATGGCAATGAGCGCGATGTAGCTGTAGGGCGGCTTCCCGCGCTGCAGGGGGCGCTTGCGCCGCCGCCCGCCCGCGCCGCGGCCCGCAGCCTCGCCGGGGACCCCGGCCCCTGCCGCCTCGCCGCGCTCCTCCTTCACGGCCGGCAGCGCCTCGGGCTGCGGCGGCGCAGCTGCCACCACGTGCAAGGCACGCTTCTGAACCCTTTGCACACACCACCACAAGCAATCCCACAATAACCCAACGCATCCATGCTCCTGTTGCACCTAGTCTGCAAATCAGACAACAGTCACAGAGCAGTTCGGTGCCTTGTCTAGTTCAAGTCCAGGGAGTCGGGTTCCAGAATTTGCACACTCAGCCACGATGCCTTTCCAGCCTCTGGTCCAGCAGGGAGAAGACAGCCCGACAGAACCAGCTGAGGGGCAGAGCCTTCTCCCAGGAAGCACTCGGGGCTCCTTTAGGATGGGGCGGGGCGGGGGTGCTGTGACTTCCTCCTAGCTCTGTGGCTTTTGTCCCCAGAAGAGCAGCAGGCGACAGGGGCTGTGGCTGAGCCAGGATGTGGTTCTGTGCGTCCTTTGACTGGATTCTCAGGGAAGAGGAAATGGGAAGCGGAGGAGTTCAAGGCCAGGGTCCAAGTGGGTAGGGCGCCTCCCGTGGTGCGTGGTTGTCCCTGGAGCTTCCTGGAGGGGATCCCGAGGCGGGCTCCGAGGGCCCTGCTGCAGAAGCACCTGGAGCTCGCTC